TAAAATTAAACTTTTCTGCTCTGTGAAACACAATGTCAAGAGAACGAGAAGACAAGCCACAGACTGGGAGAAAATATTTGCACAAGACATATGTGATAAAGGACTATTATCCAAGTTATACAAAGAACCCTTAAAAGTCAACAACAAGAAAACAAAGAACCTGATATAAAAATGGGACAAGGACCTTAACAGACACCTCACCAAAGAGATACACACATGGCTAGTAAGAATACCATAAGATGCTCCACATCATGTATCATCAGGTAAATGCAAATTAAAACAACAATGAGATACCACTATACATCTATTAGAATGCCCAACACCAATGTCAATCCAGAATACTGACAACACCAAATCCTGGTGAGGATGTGGAGCCATGGAAACTCTCATTCATTGTTGGTGGGAATGAGCACTTTGGAAAATAGTTTGGCCATTTCTTACAAAACTAAACATACTATTACCATATGATCCAATAATTTGCTCTTTGGTATTCACACAAACAAATTGAAGTTATGCCCACACAAGAGCCTGCACACAGATGTTTACAGCATTTCTATTCATGACTGTCAAAACTTAGAAGCAACCAAGATGTTTTTCAGCAGGTGAATGGATGAATGAACTGTGATACATCCAGATGATGGAAGATTACACAGTGCTAAAAAGAAATGAACTACCGTACCATGAAAAGACATGGAGGAAATGAACATGCATATTACTAAGTGAAAGAAGCCAATCTCAAAAGGCTACATACTATATGACTCCAACTATGTGACATTCTGTAAAAGACAAAAAACTATAGAGACAGTCAAAAGGTCAATAATTTCCAGGGGTTTGGGGACAAGGAGGATGAAATGGCAGAACACAGAGGGCTTTTAGAGTAGCGAATTACTCTGTATAATATTATAATGGTGGATGCACATTATGCATTTGACCAAACCCATAGAAGGTACAACACCAAGAATGAACCCTAATATAAATTATGGACTTGGGTTATAAAGATCTGTTAACGGAGGTACATCAGTTGTAACGAATGTACCATTCTGTGGAAGGATGTTGATGGTAGGGAAGGCTATGCGTGTGTGGAGGCAGGGGAACATGCGAAATCTGTGTACCTTTCTCTCAGTTTTGCTGTGAACCTAAAACTGCCCTAAAAAATAAAAATGTTCTATATCTTGATGTGGTGGTGATTACATAGGTGTACGTATTTGCCAAAATGCCAATTTAAATGAGTACATTTTCTTATATGTAAATTATACTTAATAAAGCTGATTCTAAATGAAATGAAAGTTACACTGGCTTGCTGTCTGCAGAGCAAAGCAAAGGATAGTAAAAGAGGCTGCAGGTGAAGGATACACAGTAGGTGAGAGGTAAAAGTCATTTGGACTTTGGTGGTGAAAATAAAAAGCATATATTTAGAGAGAAAATCAACAAAACTTGGTGACTAGTTGAGGGTGACAGACAGAAATGTCAAGGACAACTCCCAGCTGTCTAACCTGAGCAATGAGGCAGAGAGTGGTGGGTGGGCTGTCCTCTCTGAGCTGGGGAGCTGGCGAGGAGAAGCAGACTTGGCTGGAAAATTACAGCTTCTGTTTTGGATTAGATGGATATGATGGGGCTGTGTGCCATGTCCAAAGATGTTGATTCTGTTATTCTGAATGCAACAGAGCCTTTTGTCTTGGGGGAAATTGAGGCAAGGGATTCATTTACAATATAAGATATGGGTAGGATCAGACCCACAGAAGGACTCTAGACTCTCACTGGCTGGGAGCCCCTTTGGAGTGAGGTAGTCTGTCCCTTCTCCTGGTCTTTTGTCATCTCGGATGGATGAACGAGCTGACCTTTCTGAGTCATTTGGCAAATTCCAACAGCATCCACATCTGAGACTCTCTGGTCTCCACTGGGGTAAGATCTGATGACTAAGCTTCATTTGGATTGGAGAAAAGTAGTGAAATTCTAACACTTAGAAAGCCAGGAAAAAGAATGCTAAGGCCCAGATACCTATTCTAGCAGATAAAAAGCATATGCTGAGCCTCTAGCAAACTTCACTTCTACAAATACCACCACCGCCTTGGGAAACAGCAGAGACATTTGACCAGGCGGCAGCTGTGCAGAGTGCTATTTAAAGACTTGGCTTTTGCAGCCCAAGGACTCTGGGCTTAGGATTTGATTGGAAGGCGGAGAGAAGACAGCAAAGACTGAGGAAAGAACCAGATTTGGGGAAAAACATCACCAGGTGGTTGGCTGCTGATATGAACCCTGAATATGTTAAATGAGCTCATTTTAATAAAATTATGTCTATCCATCTCTCTGAGTAAATTAAATGTGTTAATTCATGGAAAGTGCTTGGAACAGTGTCCACTTCATAGGGCTTATTGAAAGGAAACTGTGATTATTACCATTATTATCTCTCCATCTACCTACCAACACATATATTTGCCCAGAGATGGAGACATGCTCATCTGTAATGATATGTTACTGCTAAGTGGTAGGATTTAGAGTGATTCTGTTTTTAACTCTCTTTGTATTTTTTTGTAATCCTTGAATTCTTTATAATGAACACATATATTTTGTAAAAACCACAAGTCACTATTCTGGGGGAAAAAAGTTAAGCCCTTAGAGTCAGACTTCCAAAGTTTCAACACCAACTCCGCTGATGAATAGCTGTGTGACCTTGAGAAAATTATTTACTTCTCTGAGTCTGTTTTCTCCTGTATAGCAGGGGGTAATCATGTTACCTACTTCATTCGGTGGTTATGGGAACTAAATGAGACAGTCCAGGAAGAGCTTGGCATGGGGTCTGGCAGAGGGTAAGAAGAAGACAAATAATGACTTATTACTAGCCATAGTAGTGGTCCTGGCTGTGTTATTTCCTACTAGGGCAAGGATTATGTTCTGTTTACTTCAGTGTTCTTGGCATGTAGTATTCACTCTGGAAACAGTTGGTAGTTTAGCTGGAGTCACCTCAGACATTGGCCTGGGAACATTCTCTGTTGAGGTAGAAAAAAAGGTGAAAAGATCTCAAGCACCTTCCCCTTATGGTAAAGGAATGAGTCCTTTTGATGATTGGGAAGCACAAGTTATTTCTCCAAAACTCTCGAGACTTTCCCAAGATGAGGTCCTTGGAGGGTCCACCATTGGTTTCTTATTCTCCCATATAATGGCCAGCCAGAAGCCAGGGCCACTGCTCTCCATCACCTTATGCTGCTCTTCATGGACTTGTAGGCAAGTCATTTCCATGAGAATTTCCAGTAATGCAAAATGTCAAGTGAACAATTACAGGGAAACTGCAGCCATTTTCCATTGACTGTGTGTGAGTGTGTTGAGAGATGGCATTCTTTGTTATGTCTAAAACAATCCTTCAGAAGGAAACAGTCCTTCCTATATTTCCTAAACACTCTACAACCAAAGTATATTCCTTTAAAATAAGAAATAAAAACTTTAAAACACCATCCTATTCTTTATAACCATGGTCCCAGGAATTCAGGGGAGCCTCATTTCCCTGCTTTCTCCTTGTCCCAATAGGATGCAGAATCTTGTTAAGTTAAACAGGGAGGACACGTTTCTGCACTTATTCCTATTGTTTGGGAACAATAAAGCCTCAAGCCATCCACATCCACACACAGTACATTGGTAATAATATTGATTTTTAAAAATCCACTGATTGTATAAATATTTCTCAAGCACCTATTATGTACCAAGCGTCATTCTACAGGTTGGTTTGTTTGTTAAATCTGGCAACACTGTACTGAGGGCTCCCACTAAACGAGAATGTAGAAATGGTGGAAATTAGGAGACACAAAAGCTGTGACCGTGACTCTAGTGACTATAAAACTGATTGAATGTCCCCTGCTATATAAATCTGACCCTGAGCGTGACAGTGACATGAGTGTAATACTGAAAGTGACTAATTAGGCAGTAACAAGACGGTCCCGTACGCAGTAGGCGCCTACTAAATATTGGCTTGAGCACGCGGCAATGAAAATAGCTGAGTGACAATAATGGTGAAAACAACTGAAAGGGTGACAGCTGGGCACACATTCCAATTGCTACATTGTACAGAACCGTTTGGAGTTCGTGGTCGTGGTCGTGGTCGCGGTCGCATACTGGACAGTGACAGTAAAAAATGATAAACCGGATAACAGCAACAATGCAAATGACAGTTCTGCCCAGTAGAGTGATTTGTGATTAAAACGGTGATAGGTGTCAGTCCGACAATGACATCTCTCACAACGACTGAATAGTGACACTATGGACGTAACAGCTGTAACCAAAGTGAGAACTCGGCAATGCACTGAGACAACCGGATCTGTATGGCAGGACTGGCAGTGACAGAAAACTGGCTGCGTGTCAGTGACACAGTGACACTGGTGAGGATCAGTGAGCCAGAGCCGATGCGACTTAACTTGCCTGAAACTGTATGGAAATGACTTCATCTGCTTGGCGGTGTGAAGGCGGCAAGAGGAGCTCCAACATGGAACGCACAGAGTGCCACAAAACGTGTGACAGGAAGATAAGCACAAGAAAACTACGAACACTTTTACCCCCGGCCCCCTAAACTCTAAAATGAGGAGGAAGGAGAGGCGGAATCAAAATGCCTTCAAAACGCCACGATTGGTTGGTACGGGTCTGTTAGCCTATTACGTCCAAGAGACGCCAAGCCTCTCCACCAATGAAAATGCGTCTGGGGACGCGTCTTAGGTCACGTCTCCCCCTTGCACGTGAACTTGTTGTTTCGGAAAAATGGAAAGAAAGTTTTTATGCCTACCTGCCATTGCTTGAAATAAGATCTCAACTTTACTGCTCCCCGAGCGAGGGGCAGTGGAAATCCATTAGAAGTTTCCGAAGGGAGTGGGTGGGGGTAGTGGTCAAGGGTCAGAGGTCAGAGAAGTGGCTAGCAACCGGCCGGCCCTAGCGTCCTACCATTGGTGGAAAGCGCGCGCGTGACGCAGGCCCCGCCCCGACGAGGCCCGGCCCCAGCACGTGACTGTGGCGCGCCAGGCAAGCCGGGCCGCCCCCTCCCCGCTTATACCCCTCCGCGCCGGCCTCAAAATGGCCGCCTTCTGGCGTTTCTGGCGCTGTTGAATGGAGAAAGCTTTATTGTTCCCTTCGGGCAGGAGTGTTCGTGTCCTCTATGGCGCTGTCAATAAAGAACGGCAGTTTGAATCGGTGCTGAACAGGTAACCATAGAAACGGGGCTGGGACTCCGCGTGGAGACCCCTTTTGCAGCTGAGGCCTGAGAGGCGTCCCGAATGAGGGGCGCGCAGAGACCCTTTCGCGTGGCAAACCCCGCAGGGCTTTGCCAAGTCCCAGCCGCTTCCTCCCGCCCCGGGACGTGGACCCCCAGGGGCGGTCCACACTTCCGAGCGCAGGCTCCGCTCTATTCTCTGGCGGGGAGAGGCCCCGGGGCCGCGGCGGGGGCGCTTGGCAGGGCCTAGTCCCCGCTTGGGGCCTGCCCTCGTCCCGCATCGCCAGCTACTCGGCCCGATTGGAGGCCTCTTTTCGCAGCTGTTTCTCGAAGTCTCAGCCCCCCCCCCCCCCGCCAACTCCCGGTACCGGCCTGGGCAAAGTATGGCCTTGGGCAAAATCCGCCTTTCACTACCCCTCCCTTCCATTTTTGTCTGTGGGGAGCTAAGAAGGTTTTACTTTTTTTTAATAGTTGAAGAAGAAAAGAATAATATTTCACAGACTTTGTGACAGCTTTATGAAATTAAATTCGGGTGTCCATAAACGAACTTTTGTTGGAACACAGCCATGTTCATTGTTTATGTATTGTCTGTTGCTGCTTTCCTGTTACAAGAGAGAAGTTGAGTAGTTGCAACACATATCGGATGGCTTTGACCCCTTGTCCCACAAAGCGAAAAGTACTTTTGCCTGGCTTTTCGCAGGAAGAGTGTGGCGGCCCCAGTTCTGGACACAAGTAGACTGGGTCAGTATTGTCCTGAATTGAGGGATTCCGCTGGTCCCATCTCAGAGTGGTGAACTCGAGTTATAGCTGCTCTGTGCACCCAGAGCTTTAATTGACCACTCTGGCTTTCATTACCTCTTCTGGTCTTACTGATTTATTATTCAGAGTGAAATTGTTTCTCCTACTTTGAATAACAAAAATACCATCCACCCAGTGTCTACAGTAAGCCAGATGCTTATTTATATTCATACACAGCGTTTTTGTACCAACAACTCTTATGAGTGTCCATGTGTCCATTTTGCATGAGAGGAGGACGCCCAGATTCTGAGAGGTTAAGCTATTTCAAAATGTACTAGATTGTAGGTCTGGCAAATAGAGCTCTTCCCTGGGAGCCCCCTGCCTGGGGACTCACATCGTACTGCTTGGACTTTATTCTTTCAGAGCTCTAAACCTGGAGTTATTGGTTCTTCCTAGAAGTCAAATCCAACTCTTTGTATCGTTTATGGAGATTTAATTACAACCTCAAAATGAAATTTTTCTCTACTTGGCTATATCATCTAACTTCTGCCACACCCCACTTTCTAACTTTGATGTTGCTCCTTTATAGCAGTTGGGGAACCCGAAACTAATTATTCCTCACTAGTTTAGTAACAATAGATAGAACACCCCATGCTTACATGCATGCATGTTAATCGTTCAACATTTGTCCAGCACCTACAATTTACTGGCGATGATTCAAATCCCTGGAAATACAGTGGTGAACAAGATCAACACGATCTCTACCCTCTCACAGAATTTAAATTCTGTAGGGGCTTGGACAGATGGCATACAGGTAAACAAAGATAATTTCATGTACAGGTATCATAGCATCATACTAATGAAATCAGTAGTTAATATTTATTGAGTGATTCCATTCAGCAAGGACTACACTATGTGCTTCATTTCCATGGCTTATTTAATCCTCACACAAACACTATAATGTAAGTAGTATTAATATTCCCATTTCAAAGATAAGGAAACAGAGTCAGGAGAGATGTCCAAGGTTACATAGTTAGTGCCTAAGGGACCTGGGATCTGTCTGAACCTCAACTGATCACACTCAGCACCCTATATTATGCCATCTGTTTATTATCTTTCCTGCTAATTTGGGAGGTCCTCAAGGGCAGGGACCACACCTTACCTGTTCTTGTGTCAGCTACCAGCCAGTGCCCACAACCTTACATTTGGTAAATATTAAATAAATCCAGGCCATTGGTTGAGCAAATATTTGTGTGCCTGCTGTGTATCAGGCACCACTGTGGTAGGCCCTGTGATTGCTAGGGTGAAACATGGACCTAAAATCTGGTATCTCACACAGTAAGGCAGTAACAAAGTTATTCCAAATTGCGGCAGTGCTGCAATAGAGGAAACAACAGTGCCGACCTGGAGACTGCTGATAGCCCCCAAAGGCCTCTCTTCTGAGTAGCTGAAGCTGAAACTTGTTGAGTGACCAGATTCAGTCCAGCAGGAAGGGAAAGGGGAGAGGAATGGGGCAGAAGAACTTTTCAGTAAGTTCAGAGACTGAGCTGGCAAGAACTTGGAGTGTTCTCCAGAACAGAACTGAAAGAAGCCGGTAACTGTGCTGTGGTTCAGTCCTGTGCTCCGAGACCCGGCCCTGCACCCAGCTTTACTGCATGCTCTTGGACCAGTTAACAGATTATTGTCTAATCTGTCAAATGTGGATAAGGGTACCTTCTCAAAGGATTGTTATGTGGTTTCTTGTTGATACACATATTGCTGAATTCCAGTGAGAGAAAACTAACCAAATTTATCTCCAAATGGAAACTTACTTAAAGTGCTAAATAATAACAAAAATTCAGAAATATGTTACAGATGAATTTGATGGTGGGGGGGTGTGTGTGTGTTTCTATCTTTGAGGGGAAGGGACCAGATCTTTTTTTTTTCAATGTTTCTGTTAAGAGAGGAACTTTTCCAAATGGGATTTATTTTCTAAAACAAAATTATACAACTATTTATGCAGGGCATTTTTCATGATTTTCGTGTTTTAAGCATGAAACCATTTGCGTTACTTCATTCTAAGAAAACCATAGGCTTCTTCTAGTTGGTAGTAATTTCAGAATTTGTTTGCAAATGATTTGGGGTTTCCTCTTAAAGTTTTCAGAATAATGGTGCATACTTTAAGCAGTACGTTGAATGCTTTAAAGCAGGTAGCAGATTTTTTGAATAGGTGAAAATAAGATAATGTTTGGGCTCATAAACATGAAAAATTACAGAGACAGTAATAAATTGAGCGAATTATATAGGAAGATCAGCAGTGTCAAGTTTTGCTTTAAACTGTATCCAGCAACCATATTGCACATGTCATCAGAAGATATAATCCAGCCCAGCAAACGGAGCAAGGAACCAGACAGAGAGTGGCACGTTAATCCAATGTTAACCAACAAGCCATGAATTAAATTGCTATTTTAGGTTTGGGTGGGACCTTCACATTTAAAGTATTGCAGTTTTACTCTGTGATTTGGGTCTGTTGGGTTCCAGTAAAGAGTAGGTGGTAACACTAGCTTTGAAGGATAATATAAAACTGCAGGAAGAGCCAGGGCATACCAATTTGTTTTTCAATCTATTTTATTTCAGTTCAAAGCATCATTGCAGACAGGCAGCTCAGGGAAACGAGCCACACTTTGGCAATACTCACCTGCTTCTGGAGATTGAGGAAGACTAAGTATAACCAAAGTGTGGCTTGTTTTCGTGGACTGTCTGTCTGCAAAGATGCTCTGAATGAAATAAAATAGATTGAAAACAAATTGGTATGCCCTGTTGCCTCATACTGAGTATTTGCATTACCCTTCTGGAGTGCCAGCACCCCAGGGAAGGCAGTGACCCTTCAGCCTCTTTCAACTCTTCAAGAGAGTGAGCTCTTTGATTTTCACAAGGAAATTGAATTGGGATGTGTGGTTTTCTGGATCTCCAATAGCCTGCCTTCTAAAGCCATCATCCTGACAACATGGAGAAAGCAAGCTATAACCACATAAAGGAAAGAATTAAATATTAAGAGCATTTAAATTCAGAGATGAGATTGTCACTTTCTTCAAGTTATGCAGAGGGTGCAGTATTTCATTTGTACAGAGCATGTAGTTTTAAGACTCCTACAGTCCTTGAAGGAGGGAAGGGTGAAGGAAGGAAACTATCTTTCCTTGAATTTCCTTCATGTTGTTAACTCCATATCCTCAAAATCATGACATCAAGTATTTCATTTCCATAGATAAAGTAAATATGTTTTTGCTGATCCACATCAGCTTGTTAATCTGGGGTAAATAAATGGTCAAGTTGCAAGGGATCCACGAATTCTTTGAATTTGTCTGCAAATTTGTGTGAATGCCATTTTTTTCTGGGAAGAGGGCCCATTTACAGGCCTTCCTCAAAGATACTGCGGGTTCAGTTCCAGACCACTGCAGTAAAGTAAATATGGCAATGAAGTGAGTCACATGAATGTTTTGGTCCAATCTATTTTGTACACTGTTGCCAGTAATCTTTCTAAAGCACAGATCTGAACATGTCACTCTCCATGCTATAACTCCAGGATGCCTTGCCTGTCCTCAGGATAGCGCAGTTCCTTGGCTTGATTTGGGCTGCCCTTAAGCTCTGGCTGAGCCTGTCTCAAGCCTCAGCTCTTAGCAGTCTCTCTACTCCCCTCTCAACCTGCTACTTGAGCACCAGTCATTGACACTCAGTGGGCCACAAGGAACTTCACTCTTCCTGGACCAGTGGGCTAAGCTCTGGGACTTTTGGGCTGTTCCTTCTCTTTGGATTTCCCTGGCCATGTTATTAACCAGGCTGGTAGCAATGCTGTTATATGTACTGACCATTAACTTACTGAATGTTATTTTAGTTTTCTGTGTGGTTCCTGTTGTCCTTAGAATGTATGCTATTTGAAATGTATGGTCAAACACTGTCCTAAAGTTTCCTGATGTAATTATTTTCTCTGTGTGGTTATACCACCAACTTGATAAACAGTCTCATTTGTTTTAAATTTTAAGAATTGTTTTTAGAAATCAAATTTTGTTTTTAACTGTAAAAACCATTTATGTGGTTCCAAAATCAAAACCATGTAACAAGTTACATTCACAGAAGTTTTTATGTCATGCCTAACCCTTCTTCTCTTTCTCTTGAGTCTTGCTGCCAGGGTTTTGGGGTTTTGTCAATCTGTTAGGTAAGAAGTAACATTTCATTATGGTTTAAATTTGTTTTCTCCTTTTATGAGATACAGAATAT